CTTGTCCTTGTTGTAGAATGAGAGTCTAAGGCATTGTTTCTCAACTTTCGTCACGGTAAGATGGATGGACTTGAACTCCCAGAATTCTCCAGCCAGGTATGCTGGCTGGGGAATTCTAGATGTTGAAACCCATCCATCTTAACATGGCCAAGGTTGAGAAACACAGATCTAAGGGCCTCTTAACAATCAGTAGTCAGGACATGATTTACAGCTGACTTTCATTTATGGAACTACATTACACCGGACTTGGAGACAGGAAAGAGATGAGCAGGGAAAGGGTGTGTGTGTGACAATTTGTGTGACAATTTGACTTGATTACAGCAAGCAATAAAGAGATGATGACAATGCTATTGTGTGCTAGCAAGTTTCCTGTTTCCTTGCAGTCTAAATTTGTGACCGAAGCTTGGCAAGCGGGGTCCTGGCCTTTGTTTGCACCAGGTTTCTTGATAAATTTCGCTATTGTTCTTCCCCTGCCGATGGAGATGTTGAGGTCCTCCTACTTGTACAAGTGTTGAATCAGATATCCTGATCCTATTTGTACGTCTTTCAGATGGTGATGCATATATTTTTGTGGGAAAGCTGGCTTCTCTGTGCCTCTGCATCAGTGGTGGGATTCAAAAATTTTTACTACTGGTTCTGTGGGCATGGCAGGGGAAGGATTCTGTAAAAACCCCATTCCCTCACCTCACTAACCTGCTTTCCAGCTCCATTCTCCTGTGCAGGGCAACAAAAGGAGACCCAGCCAATCAGCCGGGACTCGGGAGGTAGAGAATAGATGGGGTTGGTGGGGCCAGTCAGAGGTGGTATTTGCCGCTTCTCTGAACTACTCAATATTTCCGCTACCGGTTCTCCAGAAGTGGTCAGAACCTGCTGAATACCACCTCTGCTCAGCACCTTCCTGATATTGGTGTGGGTGTGTGCTGTGTATGTGTGTGCACCTGTGTAGGCATGCATGAAGCCAAAAGTTCCTTCAAAAATTGGGAAATATGCTTGGTTTTTTTTGTATATGTGAGGCAGTTTGGCCCAGTGGTTAAGGTATTAGGGCAGAAACCAAGAGACTGAGAGTTCTAATCCTGCCTTAGGTATGAATGCCAGCTGGGTGACTTGCAGCCAATCAGCAGGAGACTGTGAATTCTAGTCCTGCCTTAGGCATGAAAGCCAGCTGGGTGGCTTTGGGCAGTTCCTCTTCCTCACCTCACCTCACCTCACAGGGTTGTTACTGTGAGGAAAATAGGAGAAAGAAATATTAGTTCCGTTCACCACCTTGAGTTACTTATAAACACAATAAAGGCAGGATGAAACTGAATAAATAGATAAATAGAAACACATGTGAGATTTTCCCTTTTGTTGCATGTCCTAGAGAGGTGAATAGGTGGCAGGGTGTCATCAAAGGATACGTGTGTGATGAAACTGCCCGAAAGAACTTTGGATCAACTGGCATCGTTGTGATATCAGATTACCCTTTAAGAATACATAAAGTAAAAAAAAAGAAGAAGAGGAAGAAGAGGAAGGAAAGCATGGGCTCGTAGCAGCAGCCCAAGCTTCGCTAGGTCACAGGGGAAATAAATGAAGTTAGCAAAGTGAAAATGGAAAGCGAGATTGCCGTAGCACAAACTGTATTTATTTTCCTGGCTAATACACACTAAATGGAAAAGGCCAAGATGCAAAGTCCACACTCTGGTTGCTTGTGGGAGCGAGGAGACGAATAAAATTGCTGTTTGAATATTTACTGATGCAGCAAACCATGAATGCCGAGCAATTTCTGCAGCAACAAATGGGAGACCATTATTATTATTGGATTCTTTTTCTTTCTTTCCTGGAGGAATAGAACTGCACATAATCTTTTTTTTTTTTTGTTAAATTTAGGAATACCACTAAGGCTAAGCAGTTTCCTGTTTTAGTCTTTTGAACTTTTTCATCACAATAGGCACCTCTGGAAACCTTTCAGCCTCTCCCAAAGGTGTTTCCCCCCCCCCAAAAAGGCAACTGGACTTTGTTTTTCCCTGAAGATGTTTCACTTCTCATCCAAGAAGCTTCTTCTATTCTGACTGAATGTTGGGAAATGGAAGGATTTATATTCCTTGCAGTTATCTGGTTGTTAGCACCAAGTGATGCTAGTGGCCTAGAGGTGGAGCTCTCACCTCACAATCGGGAGGCTGTGAGTTCGATCCTAGGTACAGGCAGATATTTCTCTCTCTGGACACAATGAGAATATGTCTGCTGAACAAAATTCTGCATTGGTGACAGGAAGGGCAGTAAAAATTCAGTTGCCCTGACTCCACTCCACCCTGGTGTAAGGGATTACAGGGTCATTAAAAGACACAAAAAATATGGTCATTAGCACTCTCTTTGAGAGCCGTTGAGGCCACTTGGGGGTTTATCTCTGCCTTCGGGGTACTGAATCTAAGTGCAAAAGGGGATGCAACCTTTTTGGAAGTGAGGAAGCTTCTTGGATGTGAAGTGAAATGTCTCCAAGGAAAAGCAAAGTCCAATTGCCTTTTGAAAAAGCACCTTTGGACAACCATGACCTGGATGACTAAGAATCTCCATAGGCTTTCAATTTCTATTTCTTTCAGTTGTTTTGTTTTAATGAACATTTTGGGCTGTTCAGTCCCTTAGGTCAGGGGTGTGACCATTCCACTGGCTGGCCCGAGCTTTGTCTAATCTGCAAAGATTGCTTTCCCAAGGACAGAATGGGACAACTGACCATGGTCCAATTGCAATGGCTAACTCACTGCTGCCAATTCAACATGGCCAGCTCACCGTGGCCAACTGACTATGGGTCAACTCACTGCAGCCAACTTTTCTGTGGGACAGCTTGCCGTGGGACAGTTCAACTATTTTATTTAATTATTTAAAATAATTTTAAAATATTTTTATTTTATTTTTTTTGTTCACATTTCATTTGGGCATCCTTTCTTCAACGACTCTATTCCACCACTTCTTCAATATTATATAACTTTTGTCCCGGGCCAAGTTATCCCACAGCAAGTTGGTCATGGTGAGTTGGCTGTGATGAGTTGGACATGGCAAGTTGGCCAAGTTGCTGACTTGGCTGTGGTGAGTTGTCCTAGAGACCCTCAGCTAGCAGCAGGAAGGCCCATTTTGGTGGAGAGTTCCAAAATGTGTGTGTGTGTGTGTGGGTCATTTGCAAATTTGGGAGGGGGTTTCATTTAAAAACACCCATTCTGCCCTGCCAAATCCTTCAAATGCAAATAAAAAGGCCTCCAATTTTGGCCTCTCCAACTTGAAGAGAGTCAGGGAACAACTAAAAAACTGAGGGGTGGGTCCCTCTTTGCATTTTTTTGACCCTTAGCAATTGTTTGAGGCTGGGCTCAGCTTCAGTTGCATCCACACAGCATAGAAATGTTGTTTGATTTGTTCCAGTTTTGGAAACAAGCCAGATCTCTGTCATTTCCTAGTTTCAGCCCTTCTTCTTCTCTCCTTCCTTCCCTTCCTCAATACCATCGTAGCTCCTACTCTCTTTTCCCCTGGCTACGACCTCCTTTTGGATCGCTTTCTTAGTCTGCATTTATCCACAGGCTTTCTGTCACACTTTTGGTCCCTCAGGGCTCTCGATCAAGGAAGCTACAGCTTCTTTATGCAAGATCAGCGCTGGCAATTCCCAAGTGATTCCCAGCACAGCCAGTTAAGGGAATCTCGTGTGTTAGGAGTGGGCCAGAAAAAAAACACCCTGTCTTTCTCTTGAAGGAATATTGTCGATCAGAACAGGCAACGCTGAGGTTTTTTTCCTCCAATTTGTTAATGATTTTTATACTCTTGCATTTGACTTCTTGGTTGCCTTTCCCTTGACTTGAAACCATGATGGTTTCCTAAGTCTTCAGCCATATCTTACTTGAGCCTGAGTGTGGTCTGGTCTCAGGCCTATTATGAACCTTCAGGTCTGGGGAAAAAAATGTAGAGAAACGTTTAGCTTTCTGAACCTGGTTGAGATCATTTGGAAACATGCTGTTGCCTCATGGTAGTTCAGACAATGATGGTGGAGGATTACCCTTGTAAGGGAGATAGAATAGAATAAAATACAGAATAACAGAGTTGGAAGGGACCTTGGAGGTCTTCTAGTCCAACCCCTTGCTTGGGCAGGAAACCCTATACTATACCATTTCAGACAAATGGTTATCCAATCTCTTTTTTAAAAAGTGTTTGGAGAATTCACAACTTCTGGAGGCAATTTGTTCCACTGGGTAATTGTCCTCATTGTTAGGAAATTCTTCCTTAGTCCTAGGTTGCTTCTCTCCTTGACTTTCCACCCATTGCTTCTTATCCTGCCTTCAGGTGCTTAGAGGAATAGCTTGGCTCCCTCTTCTTTGTGGCAGCCCCTGAGATATTGAAACACTGCTATCATGTCTCCCCTAGTCCTTCTTAAAAAGAAGGAGACATGTACACAAACTAGACATGTATACAAAAGCTGCTAGGTTACTTAACAGGTGAATGGAAAGAAGCCTGCAGTGCTCTGTCTCTCTCTCTTTCTCTGTGTCCCTCTCCCTCCCTCCCTCTCCCCTTCTCTGTCTCTCTCTCTCTCTCTGTCTCTCTCTCTCTCTCTCTCTCTCTTTACCCCCCCTCCTTAGAAAAAGCAAGAAATCTATGGAGTCCAGTCACAGGGCTGGATTCAAGACTTTCATTCCACAACAGTGACTACCCTAGTTTTGCTGATGTAGGAGGTAGGCTGGCAGATGGAGGCGTCAAGTGGGGCATCAGTTTAGAATCTCTACATAGTCACAAGAGGACAAAATTCAACCCCTTCTTGAATGTAATTTTACCCAGGTGCAGACAGTTCATCTGAGAAGGTTCCTGTACATAGGCTTGAGCAATAAATAAGTACAGTAATTTTTAAGGTTCACACGTGGACCTGTCTGTTTGCCCTGCATTTGAAATGATTAGGAAAATTTGGTTAGCTTTATCCATAACTCTGGCATGTTGATATTTATTCTTTGCTTTTTTTGTTTCCTTTTTCTCCCCTTTTCTTTCGATGCTGGCAGCAAACTCTGGAGATGAACCTCACCAACTTGGTTAAGCGCAATAGTGAGCTAGAAAACCAGATGGCCAAACTGATACAGATCTGTCAGCAGGTGGAGGTACGTGCAAGGATGTGTTGGTACTCTGTGTCTGGATGGGAGTGGGTGGGAGATCAGATGGCATATGTCTGTGTAGAAATGGGGGTGGGGGGGAAAGGAGGAGGAGAATGAAGATGATAGCAATAGCACTTATAGCACTTAGACTTATATACTGCTTCACAGTGCTTCACAGTCCTCTCTAAGCAGTTTACAGAGTCAGCTTATTGCTCCCAATAATTTGGGTCTTCATTTTACTGACTTTGGAAGGATGGAAGGCTGAGTCAACCTTGAGTTGGTCAGGATCAAACTCCTGGCAGTTGGCAGAATTAGCCTGCAACACTGCATTCTAACCACTGCACCACCAGGACTCTTATATAGCAATAGCATTTAGACTTGCATACTGCTTCACAGTGCTTTACGGTCCTCTCTAAGCTGTTTATATTGTCCCCAACAATCGGTGTCCTCATTTTTACCCACGTTGGAAGGATGGAAGGATGGGTCAACCTTGAATGATGATGACAATGTTCTTTTCTGGCCAAGTGATTTTTTTAATGTCTTTGGTTGGGTTCATACTACATGCCCAGCTGAGCTAATTGGGATTGTGTGTGGTTTACCATGTATGGTTTTAGTATGATGCAATGTTAGGTCATACTGTGATTTTACCTATTTAGGGGTAATAAAATGCACGTGTTTTGTTAAGCCAACTGAATTTAAAATGTGTATACCCAGCTTTCTGATCTTCAAGGATACCAAACATTTCTATTTGGTGTTCTCAAGGAGGCCTTCTTTCCACTTCTTGAATTTCCTACACACCCCATAATCCTTCACTCACTGGAAGCCAGATACTGCTTTTCCCTCCCTCCTGGTTTCTCTGAAGCAAGAAGAATGGAGTCTTCCTAATCACAAAGATTTCACTCAGTGCCTTGAAATAGCAAGGCAGAAATATCCCGCCTTACTGCTTCCAAATGCAGAACAATTAATAGTGAATTATCTCAGTGCTTTGTTTACCAAGGCAATGCCCAGGGAGAAGCCAAGCAATTAGATTCTTCTTAATGGCTTATTGATGTTCAGTTACTAAATTAAGAAGTGGTTCCTTGAACAAGATGCCACTTCTTCTTTTTTTGTTTTTTAATAATGGAAATAGAGATCATGATTTAGGACAGTGGAAAACCAATTCAATATACTGTTCAACATTATTTCTCAGGGGAACCCACCTCCTCTGTCCTCTATCTGCTACCACCCTTATTCTCTCAGACATTTCCTCTCCAGCCCTGTTTCCCATAGATGCGTTAATTCTTCATGAATGAAATCAAATATACGTGTCCAGGGGTAGAATTCAAAAACCCCAGCAACCGGTTGCTGGGTGTGTGTGGCCTACCTGAAATTCTGGGAGGGCCATTTTTTTTGCTTTCCCAAGGGTCCAAAGGCTTCCCCCAGCCTCTGGGAGGGCAAAAATGGCCTTCCCCGGGCTCTGGAGACCCTCTGGAAGCCAGAAACAGGCTTGTTTCCAGACTTCTGGAAGGCCTATTTTTTTCCCCCTCACAGAGCCTCCACGCGAATCCTGCACTTACCTGCATCGCGTGGAGGCTCCTGGGAGGGACAGGGTGGAGGGACAGGGCCAGCTGGTCAGTTGAAATACTGGTTTGGCGAACCAGATGAAAACTTAACATCTGGTTTGCCCAAACCAGCCTGAACCGGTAGAATCCCACCCCTGTCCATGTCCCAGGATAATGTTGCAGGATCCAATCTGAGTCAATCACTGGGACCAGAGGTTTATTCTTCCAAGCTTTCAGACTTCTGCTGGAGCCCATCCTCAAGGTGTATGAAGATTCTGGAGAGAGACAAATTTAGAAGAAAAATAAATAAACCTCTGGTCCAGGTGACTGACTCTGATTGGATCCTGCAGCTTTAATTCTCATCCTCACACAGCTGCAGGGATTAAGGTCAGAGAATTCCTCTTTTCCCATAGTGTCTCCTGCATATTCCTTGAACAGCAGAGGTAACCAACAAGGAAGTACTAGAAGCCATAACACCCGATGTTTCCCTAGAAGGCAAAAATCACAAAACTTGTGTGCCCCTTGTATGTGCCGTTGCAGTAACATGCTTTATAGAAATGCACAGGGGAGCCCTACTGTGTTCAACCTGCTGGTTCCATATTCAGAGAACTCAATTTAGTTGAAAAGTTTGCGCTGTTCTTGCCAAAGGCCATCTCATTTACTAGCTTGGTTAAATCAAGCAGTTTTGCTGCCTTCTGAAATGTTACTCTGAACGTTTAGATACTCTGGATGATGTTCATTTAATAATGGCCTTTTCCAACTCCGGAGGAGTTGGGAGTACAACTCTTGAAAAAGTCTAAGCTTCTGGCAATTCTAGAAGCTGTAGTTTCTGAGCAGCTGGAGACAAGCAATCGCTAGTGATTCTCTCTATGAAAGGGGGAACAGGTGTGAGCAACAAAAGAGAAGTGGCAGTTTCCCAGAAAGGAGGGAGCTCATTCCAGGAGGTGGTACAAGACAAGAGGCAGCCCGGCCCAGGGGAAAAGAGTAAGAAGCGCCACTCTCTAGATTCTTCCAGGTATATCTATTAGGGTAAGAGTAATATAGCTTTAAGTATACTAGTTTAGATGGGATGGATGAGTGGT